CTTATATATATATATATATATATATATATATATATATAAGTGTTTGACTATGTTAATGTAGGTATCAGGTATGCCGTTGGTAGGACGAAAAATGTTTAGTAAAATACTAAGACACGACAGTAATTTCGATGAGATAAAAAAATTATTATTTTAAATCATTAATTTCTCATTTGACATCTTTCCGATTCCACCACACGTGTGTATGTGGATATATATGTATATATATATATATATGTATATTGTAAATTATCGCGCACATACACACCTATATGTATCCACGCTCGTGTAGGAAATTAGTAATATGATTTTGTTTGTCCTCGAGCGAATGAGTATCTGGCTTTTGGCTGGAATTCTTGAGGACGTTGAATGACGTGGCATATTATGATTGGTTCAAAATTGAGTTTTTTTTTTACATTCTTTGGTCCTCCCTCTGTTTATACTTTTCACACGAGCAAAAGTTTAACGCGCCTTCCTCGGACCAATTGCAAAAATGTCCTTAAATGATACATTGTACTTCAAGTAATACCCTTCATAAAAAAAAGAAAAAAGACAACATCAAATATAACCTTATAAATGTAGTTTCCCTATAATACTCTTTTACTAATTTATATAATTTAATAAAACAAAAATATTTTTTTTATATTTCTCTCTCTTCTCTCCACCTCTCTCTCCCGCTCTCTCTCTCCTTTCTTCCATTTTTTCGCGCTTGTATTACGCTCTCTCTCTCTTCTCTCTCTCTCTTCGAGCTCCTCCTCTACAGTGTGGATTCTCACCAAATTTGTTGAGAGAAACAAGCGAAATCTCCAATAATCTCATCCAATAAGCATAGATCTCATATATAGGTAAGTTTTCTTCTTTAAATTCCGTTATATACTTTGGGCATTTAGGATTTTTTTTTTATGAAAGGGTTTTGTTGTTTTCATGTTTATATTCGACTCATATGGTATAAATGAGTAAAATGTAACATATATATCAATAACATGTCGTATTTTGTAGACTTAATTGAGTTAAATCAATATTATCATGATTCACATTAGTCAAATTGGTCACATTAATTAAACTATGTCAAACTGGTCAAACTCTTCTAAATAATCAGAATCGACAAATCCATCTAACCGGTCATATTGACGAAACTGGTCAAACTGGTCATACTTGTCAAACTGGTCATACTGGTCAAATTGGTCATACTCGTCAAACTGGTCATACTCGTCAAACTGATCATCATATATCTCACATTTTGTGTTTATTTTATACAGTCATAATGGATGCAAGTGATGAAAGAATGACGATTATTTATTACAAGTCTGGTGGCAAGTGGACATTGAATTCGAGTGGGGAATATGAATGGGATGGAAAAGTTAAAGATGGCAAAGGAATGATATTCCTTTTTCCTCCGACTGATTTGACATACAACCAGCTTGTTGAAGAGTTACATTCTGAGCTGGACGTAGATAAAGATAAAACAGCTATCAAGCTAAGTTACTTGCCGACTATAAAAGGAAATAGTGAGCCGATTTACATATCGAATGATAAGCAAGTGTTTATTTATCTCATGGACAAAATAAACGGAGGAAGGAGCATGCTTCACGTGGAGATTGAAAAAGTAAAGCTGCGAGCAAGGGAATATGGAAAAGATAACGGTGTGGAATACATTCCTGATTCCGTTAGTGGTATTGGTATTGGACCATATGGGGCTGTACTTTATGCAGGTTATAATAACAATATGATTCAGAGTCCTGATTTCAAAAGTAAAGCTGCGAGTAATACGATACAATTTATAGATGATTCGGATAATGAAGATACTATTGTTGTAGGAGAAGATGCAATTGTTTTGAAAGAGAAACCTGCAATTGGTATAGCCTGTGGAACCAACAAAGTCGACTTTGTTGATTGTGATGGTGCTGGAGATGGAGATGGAGATGGAGATGATCTAAATAATTTGGCTGTGGTAGCTGCGGAGGACACATCGTTTTCTCTTTCTGTATTCAATTTTACCGATGGGTTGAATATAAGTATTGGTTATGAGTTTGATAGTAAGGAAGCAGCTCAGGAATATGTACGGAAAGGCGCAGTTAAGGCTTGTTTCGGTTATGCTACAGTAAAGTCTGATAAGAAACTGTGGGAATTAAGATGCAAGTTTTATAGATCGGGTTGTGCTTGGAAATTGCGCATCGCAGCGATTCAGAATTCTGTGCGTTTTAGTGTAAGATCACATAATCCCGTTCATACTTGCAGACCAGTATCCGAATCAGAAAAAGCTTTGAAAGGTTCAGCAAAGTTGGTTAGAGATTATTTAAAGGAAGAATACGCTGGTAAGCTTGAAACTCCCACAGCAAAAGAGATAGTAGAACGAGTGCAACTCAAGTACGGTGCGAGTGTATCATATATGATGGCATTGAGAGGAAAGCACAGTGCTGAAAATGAGATTCGTGGTAATCATGTTGAACATTACAGTAGGCTTCCTGGTTGGTTGCACATGTTGACGGAAAGAAATCCTGGGACTATAGCGAGCATTCAGTTGGAAGATGATAACAAAACTTTCAAATATCTCTTCATCGCCTTGGGTGCCACTATAAAAGGATGGAACTATATGCGTAAAGTGGTTGCTATTGATGCAAAATTTCTGACGAGCCACTATAAGGGCGC